GCATTTATTGCACTCAGCACTGCTTTCGCTGTGTCCCAACAATTTTGTTATGTTGTGTTTTCAATCTCGTTTGTTTCTAGGAACTTTCTTAATTGCCATTTAATTTCTTCTATTATCTAGTCGCTTTTTAGCAGGGTGTTATTCAGTTTCCATGTATTAAACTTTATTTCCTTGGTCTTATTGTTGATTTCTAATTTTATGGTATTGTGCTCTGAAAAGATACTTTGTAGTATAGTGATGTTTGTAAATTTATGGAGGCTTGCTTTGTGACCTAACACAGGGTCAATTCTGGAGAATGTTCCATGTGCACTGGAAAAGAATGTGTATTGTGCTATAGTTGTGTTGAACGCTCTGTATACGTCTATGAGGTCATGTTGATTGATTGTGCTGTTTAGTTCCTCTGTAGCTTTGTTGAGTTTCTTTCTGGTTGTTCTGTCCCTTTTTGAAAGTGGCGTATTGAAATCCCCCACTATAATTGTAGACTTGTCTATTTCTTTCTTCAATTCTAGTAGAGTTTGCTTTATATATCTTGGTGCTCTTTCATTTGGAGTGTAGATGTTAATTATGGTTATGTCATCTTGCTCAATTGGCCCTTTAATCATGAGATAGTGTCCTTCTTTATCTCTTATGGTGGTTTTTGCTTTAAAGTTTATTTTATCAGAGATTAGTATTCTTGTTTTTTATTGCTGTTAGCTTAGTTCATTCTTTTCCATCCTTTAACTTTTAGTCTGTTTTTGTCTTTGCGTGTAAGATGTCTCTTGCAGGCAGTATATTGAAGGGTCTTGGTTTTTTATCCATTCAGCCATTCTGTCTCTTCACTGGTGCATTTAATCCATTGACATTCAGTGTAATTATTGATAGGTATGGATTAACTGCTGTTATTATGTAAATTTTTTGTGGTGTTGTTTGTTCCTTTGTTCTACATGCCTTCTTGATTTGTGTTCATGGTTTTTGTGCTATTTCTTGTCGGTTTCTTCTTTGTTATAATATTTTCTTGTTCTGCTTGGATCTTCATTTTCATGGTAAATTGTGAAGTATGAATTTTCATTTGGGTTATCCTATAGTCTGTGAAGTTTCTCTGCGTGTAAGACAGTCCGTTGTATCCTGCAATCTACGCGACCTCACCACCTGGATCTCTATTCCTTTATTTTTTACCTTCTTTAACATTGTTAATATTTTGATCTTTGGTTGGCCTCACAGGTTCTCTGAATTCATTGCTGTAATTTTGTTACGTTCTGAACTCTGCTATCCATTGACTGAGTTCCAGGTGGTATTGCCACGTCTGTCAATCTCTGGTTGTAGTCTGTTCTTGATGCTTTTCATTCCAAAGAACTCCCTTTAGCATGTTTTGAAGCGCTGGATTTACTTTAACAAAATCTCTTAGCTTCTGTTTATCCTGGAATGTTTTGATTACACCATCGTATTTGATTGGCAGTTTTGCTGGATAGACGAATCTTGGTTGGCAGGTGTTTTCTTTTAGGGTTTTATATGTGTCTCCCCATTGCCTTCTTGCCTGCATGGTTTGTGCTGAATAGTCAGAGCTTAATCTGATTTGCTTGCCTTGTAAGTGACACTTGTCTTTTCCCTGGCTGCTTTTAGGATTCTCTCCTTGTCTTTGATTTTGGAGAGCTTGATTATATGCCTCGGTGATTTTCTTATGGGGGTCTATCCTTCCTGGGTTTCTTTCAGCTTCTTGAATGTTTATCTTCTCATCCTTCAAGATGTTAGGAAATTTTTCTTCCAGAAGCTCTTGAACTGTCTCTTCTGGGGACTTCTGTGATTCTTCCTCTTCTGGAATGCCAATAATTCTTAAGGTATTCCTCTTCATGTTATCCAGCATGAATCTTAGACTCTCTTTAGAATTTTTAATGCTTTTTTCTGCTTGCTCTTCTGTCTTAGCAAGTATTGAGAGATTTATCTTCCAGCTTGCTGGTTTTGACTTCCATCTCTTCCATTCTGCTCCTTTGCTCTTTCAGTATATTGTCCATTTGTGATATTTTATTATTAATCATCTGGACTTCTCTTTGCAGGTTTTGTGTTGTTTCCAATGCCATATCTGTCTTGTTTGATTGCTCTCATAGCACTTTTCTGACTTCTTCCTGTACCCCTTTTCAGAGCATTTGAATTTGTTTCCATATTATTCTTCTGAATTCCTTCTAAGGCAGATTCAGAGCCTACTCTTCTACTGGAAAGTCTGTGTCTGCTTCCAGCTCATTTGTCTCAGTTACTTTTTTCTGTTTTTAAACGTGTTGATATCTTTAATTGTGCTTTATTGGACATTTTCAACAGTTATGTGAGTTTTTAATGCTTAAATGAATGTATGTTGCTTTGTTATTAAGCTTGCTGAGCGTCTCCTGGTGGATATGATTTGGAGACAGGCTTCCCTTTTCACGTGTAATATGCCTAGCAGCTGGTTTTGGCTTTTGTCCAAATGGTGGGGTATTGCAAGGTATGCTTGTAGCTTGGCTATATGGACACAGTTGCTGTCTCTTTTTGGGTAAGGTAGGGGGAGAAAGCTCCAACCCCTGGGAGAAGAGTGAGGCCAAAAGGACCAAAGACAGAAACAATATAAATGAAGAGACAGAAACCACCAATCAAAAACAAAAAATTGTAATTGACACTGTTCACTGACCTTTGCCCTGCCTAGGTAAACTATGGGGTGGGTTCCCAGGGTCAAAATGTCATAAGAAGCAGCCTACAGGTGTCCTCTCTGTGCTGTTGGAAAACTGTGGGTGCAATACTGGGCCCTTTTGGGAGTGTGCTCCCACCCACCTTAAGGTGTCTGGGCAATGCAGTGTGGGTGTGATCAGGGTGAAAAGGAGAGATATGTAAAAAATGAAAAGTGAAAGTTGAAAAATCAGGCACACCTCTCCCTTCACACGCGCAGATCCGCGGCCGCTGGCTCGCTGCCTCCCTTTGGCCCTGGCCCCACCCTCTGGCCTGAGGACTTCAGGCTGGATCAATCCAGAAATCACCATATTTTGTTTCCACAGGTAGATTTCTTCTCAATGGGCATGGGAAACTGGTGCCTAGAACCTTAAACAAGATCCAAAGCTCCCCAGTTTCTCTGTGGACCACTCTTTCTCTGCTTTTTGGTTGTGGCAGAGGAGTTTTCATTGTCTGTCTCTGTTTTCCCCTCTTGGTTCATTTTTGAGATCTTCCTGATTATGTTGCCTGATCCATCTAAGAACTGGTTTTTTTTTTTTTTTTTTATGTGGGGCAGTATTCAAGGAGCTCTGGTAGCATAGTGGTTACGAATCGGGCTGCGAGCCACAAGGTCAGCAGTTCGAAATTACCAGCTGTTCTGTGGGAGAAAGATGAGGCTTTCTGCTCCCATAAAGGTTTACAGCCTTGGAAACCCTGTTCAGGGTTGCTATGGGTCAGAACCGACTCAACAGCACTTAACAACAACAACATTCATGTAAACTTGCTGCAAAGTTTATTGATTTGGGAATATGTCCACTTGAGTTTTGGTAACAATTTGGTACTAACCCTAACCTCAAAATCATTTTTTTAATTGTGACCAAAAAATACCCTTTTTTGAAGGCCCCTTAACAGTATAAGGTAAGTGTATTATCGAGAGAACTTGTCTTGCAACCATCCACTGACACAGAGGCATGTTTAAACATATCTTCTTGGGAATAAATTAGTGCATGTATAAACTGGGACCTTAGTCACAATACTTTTTTACTTACCCTGTTATTTCTTTGGAATTGGTCATATTTTGGCGAGATAAGTTCAGTGCTTTACAAATACTGTTAAATCTATGGAATAAGATTTAATACAGATTACCAGTCAGGAGATGAATGCAGTAAACTGCAACATTGGTGTGGGTCGTTAAGGCCGGTAGTTCTAACTCACCAGCTGCTCCTTGGAAACCCTGTACAGGGTCCCTATGAGTCAGATCCCGACTCGATGGCACTTAACAACAACAACAACGACAACCAGTAAGGAGGTAAATGCACATAGCATGGGATAAATCTGATGTCCAAACCTGAGCGAGAGCACACAGCTTCTGTGATTTCCCTCTAAATTCTTAGTTTCCAATTACCGCAAGCCTTAGCCATCCTTTTGCACACATTAGAGAACATGGTACCTTACTTATCCAGAATGTGTGATGTTTTAGGACTCAGTGGGATTTGAGGATGTGGCCGTGAACTTTACCCAGGAAGAGTGGGCTTTGCTGGATTTTTCTCAGCGGAAGCTTTACAGAGATGTCATGGTGGAAATCTTCAGGTACCTGAACTCAGGTGAGGATGAGTTCATTTTTCTCATTTTCTTCTTTCATATATAAATGTATCCCTTTGACCTTTACAGAATTGATACTGTGGAATTAGATAACATTGGCAAACATGACAAACGGTTTCATTGACCTCATGAACTTTAGGCTTCAGGGACTTTCCCATGAAAGAGAACATTTTATTTGTTGAACTTAAACTCTTTATTTCTCTTGTCCTTAAAGTCTTCAGGCTCTTTACGTTTTGCTAGTGAGCAATGCTTGCAGGGTCAAGTTTTAATAACAGCTGCTTCTCTAAGTATTGTTCCTCATGTCTCAGGGTGGTGTAATTCATTGCAGTTTCTGAAAGACCTCATACATTGCCAAGGAAATGATTCACATGGTTGTAGAGGCTGGTAAGTCCCAAATCCCTGGGTCGGATGTCAATGTGGAGGATTGCTTTTACTCATGTAGGTGTAGGGGCTGACAAACCAAAATTGGCAGGTCACGTGACTCATAAGGCTATGTAAATTGTCAAATCAAGTCAGATGATGGTCTTCTGTCCCAGAGATCAGACTAGGGCAGGATTCAGAGCCAGACAGGGAACTTTGCCAAAGCTTTCCTATAGATTAGATATGGTCACACCTCCCAAAGGAAACTAACTTTGGTAACAGGCACAGTGGCTAGGATTTACACTGTGTCAAAATGTGGGTAAATATGACTAGAAAGGCCTCATTAAATAATTCATTGCCTGAGCACCATCTCTAGAAACCCTGGAGATGAAAGTATTGGCACAATGTCCGAGAAATTTGCTCTTCTATCTGTGGTTATGATCTGTCTTTCTTGGTCAGCACCCTATCGCTGGGAAAGCAAGGGAAAGTTCCGAGGAGTGGAGATAGGACTTATCTGGGGTCACTATATTAGGAACAAAGAAAGGAAAGAACTCTTCAAAGACCTGACCTGCTCGGAATGAATTACAGCTGAAGAAATCAATTACAGAAGGTTTCATTTACTTTGAGGAGCTAAACTTTCACACACCTGAGCTAACTTTAAAAAAAAAAAAAATGTCACCAATTCTCTTGCCATCTCCCCCATTTTCATTTAATACCACCTTTAGGCACACGCATTGTTTCTAACTCCTTGCACTTCTGTACTCATGATTGCACCTTGATTTCTTCACCATCAGTCTCAATAGTCATGGAATTATTTCTTACTTTGTTTTTTCACCAAACTCCTAGAATAACCAAATGCCTCAGTATTTCTTTCTTCAAAGGTGCCTAGTGCCTCATCAGATTTCCTCCCTTTTTGTTTAATTTTTTTGAAGTGGAGTTTCACTCCACTTCAAATTACTGGGTCAGTCTCTCAACAGAATAATAATGGACAAAAGTTGTCCAATGAGCACGTCATAGTGCGATTTGTGAAGAACGACGGCACATCTTCCATGTTAGGAGAAATCTGTGAGTTCCATGGCAGTGAAAATCACCACAACAACCAGGAAATGCAATTGAGGTATCAAACCATGACATTAAGCAGCATCTCAGGACACGGTCTCAGTGTGCCTTATATGTATGTGTGAATGTGTCTGTGTAAAACTAGTTCTAAATGTATGTTGACCTGATTTTCAAAACACAGTTGTTCCACAATTGTGAATCAGATACTGAATGTTTGAGACATATTTCACTTGTACAGCAAACCTCAGTATTTGGAAACAGTGACGACAATGCTAGTACCTTGTGTGGCACGATTGAAATCTATGCAGCATGAGACATTACGGGGCAAAAATTGCACAATAAATGCATATAGTAATTTTGAAGTGGTAGAAAATGTAATTCTAACAACATACTTTCTATTTCAACAGAAAATATATGATAGACTACTTCTGTGGAAGTAAAGAAGATAAACTAAAGAAATATAAAGAAGATGATCAGTGTGGGAAGTTTTTCTACCAGATTGAAAATCTTACTAGGGTCAAAGAAACTCCTGTTGGAGTAAATTCTTTGGAATTTCATGATAATGGTGATCATATATTTAATTACCACATCAGGTACCGTATTGGGTACAAATCTTATCAATATAAAGAATATGAAGAAACCTGGAGGTGTCCGTCTTACCTAAAATCCTACAAAACCCTTACTGTAGAGAAACTCTGTAACTGTAACGATTGTGGGAAACCCTGTTCCCTCCCTAAACATAAAAGAATGCATAGTGGAGAGAGATGTTATGCATGTAAAGAATGTGGGAGAGTCTTTAGTCAGTCCTCACGCCTCACTGAACACAAAAGAACACACAGTGGAGAGAAACCTTTTAAATGCAAGGAGTGTGGGAAAGCCTTTAATCGATCCTCACGCCTCACTGAACATAGACGAACACACAGTGGAGAGAAACCTTATAAATGCAAGGAATGTGGGAAAGCCTTTACTCATCACTCAACACTAATTAAACATGTAAGAACTCACAATGGAGAGAAGCCCTATGAATGTAAGGAATGTGGGAAAACCTTCAGACAAACATCAGCACTAACTAACCATATAAGAATTCATAGTGGAGAAAGGCCTTATGAATGTAAGGAATGTGGGAAAGGCTTCAGTCAACCTGCTACACTAGCTAAACATAGAAGATCCCACAGTGGACAGAGGCCTTATGAATGTAAGGAATGTGGGAAAACCTTTGGTCGACACTTACACCTCACTCATCATAAAAGAACACACAGTGGAGAGAAGCCTTATGAATGTGAAGAATGTGGGAAAGTATTTAGCATTGCTGCATCCCTGACTCAACATAAAAGAACACACAGTGGAGAGAGGCCTTTTGAATGCAAAGTATGTGGGAAAACCTTTACTCGATCTTCACATCTCACTATCCATTTAAGAATTCACAGTGGAGAGAAGCCTTATGAATGTAAGGAATGTGGAAAATCCTTTAATAATTCCTCAAACCTCAGTAAACATGTAAGAACTCACAGAAGGAGAAGCTTAAGTGTAAAAAAAGTGGGAAACCCTTTAATTGATCCTTGTTTCTCAAGAACGATGTTGCGAAAAGTCTGAAATGCAAGCAGTGTGAGAACTATGTAACCATTCCTTATACCTTATTAAACAGAAGAATGCACAGTAGAGACAGTCTGTGGATGTTAGTGTGTGGAAAAACCTTTAATTGGTCTTCAAACCTCAGTATAAAAGAACGGGCAGTGGAGGGAAGTCAGAAATGTAAGAAAAGTGGGAATGCATTGAGTAGGATGGATCTCTCAGAAGAACTCAGTGCAAGAGCCTTGTGATTAAAGAAATGTGGGAAAGCCTTTGGTATTCTTACCTCAACACAACATTCACCCTGTAGGGTAACGAATGTAATGAATGTGAGAGAGTCTTTAACACTCACTAGATGTAGAACTCCCATTGGAGAGATGACTTTAATTCTCACAGCTTTTAGAAGACATGATAAGATCCATCAGAAACTAAGAATATATGTATGAGTACTATTGGAAAGTAAGTCATCTCTCATAAAGACCTGGAACAAGTAAAGCAAGTGATACAAGATAGTTTCTACTATTTTCCCTGTACTTTCCAAGATGGTGAGGGTCCGTTCACTCAGAAAAGCTGTCACAAATTGCGTCTTCTGAATATATGATGTTAGATTTGAGATGAGTCATGTATATGTAAAGAACACAAAACATATATGAGTCTTTCAAATCATAAGTTTTTACACTGGATTAATTATGTGAATTATATGAATGTAAAATCAGAGACAAACTTTCAGTGGCCGCCCTGGTGTACCCTATGACACCTCACATGCATACAGACGGGTTGAAAGCTAAGTACCCTTTCAGTTGTAGTCTGAGGATTAGATAAGTAACAATACGTCTTTTTGTTTCTATTCAGATTGTCTTGATTAAAAAAAAACACCTTGTCAACCTATGGACACGTTGAAGTGTACTTTCTTTTTAATAGGTATACAAGAGGGCTTCAAAAATTTTGTGGAGAAATTCCATTGTCTTTTAATTTCATTTTCTACAAACGTTGAAGCACTCGTATTTTTATACTTCATCACATTCTAGTGCAGTATGTTCTGATTATATTTTTAGCAAAATCTTGAGGAAAATCTGCAAACAGCACAGTATCCCACCACAATCGTTATTTAGGATAATTTCTTTTAGCATTCTTTGTTTACAAAGCAGCATTTTCTTAAATAATCTGGCTGTTATTTGTCTAGTGATATAACAAATTATTTCTTACATTGTTTCTGTCATTTGTTGCTTTGCTGATACATGTACCTTAAAAATGTTCCTGTGAGGAGCAGGGTTTATATGGAAGGAAGACTAAACTTGGTCCACGTGAATCCACATTTACACTTATCTACAAAGGAGCTTCAAACCAGCCCAGCTTTAGACTGTATTTTGAGATCCTGCTTTTGGTAATTCTGTGCTTGGAAGACGCTGAGACGACAATAGTTTGGTTGGACTGCTGTTTTCCACTTGGTTGCATTATGTGCTCCAGAGCCTGGAGGTTTATACGAAGCCATGGCCTCATTCTGAACTGAGTTTATGATTTCTATGTAATAGACCCAGTTCTAGAAGGCATTCCAATAGGACTTGCCAGCATCCAAGCAATTTCCCTTTAAAATTGGTCATAGGGAAATCTCTGGGCACCTTAGTGGCATCCATTGATAATAGTGGAAATACTGAAAGGGAGGAAACAGTGTCATTGTACAACAGTGTTCAATAAATGCATGGCTACATGCCACATACTGTTCTACCTGTAAATGAGTTTGTTGAAAAATGTTTAATCTGTAGTTGTAGAGGCAATCATAGCTTACTGTTTCGAGAGGCAGAGTATAGATTAGAATGCACACGATGATGGCAGTTTTGTATAATAGTAATTTACAAAAAACATCCTGTAAGTCTAAGTTTCTTCTAAGATGAAACAGATTTCTTTAGTCATTTGCTTCCTTTAATTTGCAGTTTTTCCAGTCATTACTTATTACTTGTTAGGTGCTGTTGAGTCAATTCCAGCTTATAGTGACCCTATGCCCTCCAGTCCATGGTAAAATGGATGGTCTGAGAAAAAGTATGACCTCCAACGAGATGGGTTGACACAGTGGCAGCAGTGATAGGCACAAATGTAGCAACGATTGTGAGGTTGGCAGAGGATCAGTCAGTGTTTCGTTCTATTGTGCATAGGGTCACTGTGATTTGGGCCAACTTGTCAGTCTCTTAACAACAACAGTGTGCGATAGCACCGACTGGTCTTGCATCTTCCTCACAATTTTCACACTTGAGCCTATTTCTGCTGCCACTGTCAATTCGTCTCCAAGGTGGTCTTCCTGGTTTTTGCTGACCCTCCACTTTGCCAAGCATGATGTCCTTCTACAGGCTCTGGATCGTCCTGATACCATGCCCTAGGTAAATGAGACTCAGTTTTATCATCTTGGCTTCTAAAGCATTCTGGCTATTCTTCTTCCTACAATGATTTGTTCTTAGTCGGTTAAGTGCCATTGAGTTAGTTCTGACTCATAGTCACCCTACATAGCGTTTCTAAGGAGTGCCTGGTGAGTTTGAACTGCTAGCCTTACGGTGCAAACCAACCTCGAGGTTGAGTGCTTTATCCTGCCAGGACTCCTTAACAATATTCCATAACACTATAATTCAAATGCATCAACTCCAAGGTCTTATTCGTTGGCCAGCTTTCTCATGTGAATGAGACAACTGAAAACATAATTTGAGTCAGGCGCACAGAACACAAATGGGCAGCTTTACTGTTGAGCATTTTAAAGAGGTTTTCTGCAGCAGATTTGCATAATGGTGGATTTGTCTGCTGCTTTAATGACGTTGATTATGGATCTAAGCAAAATGAAGTCTCTGACAACTTCAGTCTTCGTATTTATCATGCTGTTATTTATTGGTCCAGTAGTGAGGATTTTTGTTTTCTTGGAGGTGTAACCCATAATGAAGTCTGTGGTCTTTTATATTCAGCATTTTACTGTCATGTTGTCCGTATAATACAGCTTCTCAGATTATTTGCTCATCATACAAATTGAGTAAGTGTGGTGAATGAATACAACCCTGGCACACACCTTTCTTAATTTAAATCATTCAGTGTCCCCCTGTTCTTTTTTGAACAACTGCATCTTGTTCTATATGGAGGTTCCTCATGAGCAAAATCAGATGTACTGGAATACTCATTCTTGGCAATGTCATCAATCATGTTGTTGTTAATGTGCCATGGAGTCAATTCCTACTCCTAGCGACCCTGTACAGGGTTTCTGAGGCTGTAAATCTTTACGGGAGCAGAAAGCCTCATCTTTCTCCCATGGAACAGCTGATAGTTTCGAACTGCTGACCCTGAGGTTTGTAGCCCGATTCGTAACCACTATGCTGTCATAGCTTGTCATAATTCATAAAGTCATTAAAGCACAAATGAACATCTTTCTGGTATTCTCTGTTTCAGCCAAGATTCATCTGACATCAGTAAGGTGTCCCTCATCCCACCTTGTCTGAATTCTGCTTCAATTTCTGGCAGTTCCCAGTCAGTACACTGTTGCAGTCGTAGTCTAATTATCTTCAGCAAATTTTTACTTCCATGTGATACATTGTTGGATGGTTTCTGCATTCTGATGGGTCACTTCTCTTTGGGATGGGCAGGAGTACTGGTCCCTTGTAATCAGATGGCCAGGCAGCTCTTGCAGTTGCCTTGGCACAGGTGAGTGAGCACCCCCTGTGCTTCAGAAATTCGTTGAAAATTTCCAGTTTCGGTTGGCCGCCAATTCCTGGAGTTTTGTTTTTTGCCAGTGCCTTCAATCAGCTTGGACTTCTTCTTTCAGTACTGTTTGTTCTTGATCATATGCTACCTCTTGAAATGGATGAACACTGACCATTTCTTTTTGGTATAATGACTCTGTGTATACTTTCCATCATCTTTGGTGTTTTTGCATCATTCAATATTTTGCCCATTATTGTTGTTGTTAAGTGTTATTGAGTTGGAACCGACCCATAGCGACCTTATGCACAGCAGAACGAAACACTGCCTGATCCTGGGCCAACCTCACTACTGTTGCCAC